GCAGTTGGTCTATTTTCTGGATTTGAATCCCAACATTTTTTCATCAATTCAGCATAGAATTCAGGAGTGTCTTTGGTAATTTTAGGTCTTTCTCCTCCAAGAATATTCCCTGTTAGATGATGATCATGTGGTACATTATAAAAAGGTTTTTTGCCAGTGGTGAATTCCCACATAATCATTCCAAAACTATAAATGTCTGATTTTTTTGTATATTGTCTACCTGATAACACTTCAGGTGCCACATATGGAGTGACTCCAAAGATCTCATTTGGATTCTCATTTTTATTTGTTATTTGTTGACATAATCCTAAATCTCCTATTTTACTATAAGTTTGATTGTATGAAAAAATATTACCACTGTGCAAATCATGATGAACATAATTATTTTCATGAATATGCTTTAATCTAATGTATTTTAATAAAAATAATAATAATAATAATAATAATAATAATAATAATAATAATAACAAAATGTATAAGTTAATTTTATAAAAAAAAAATTAATTTAAATAATAAAATTTAAAACTTACCCAGATGAAATAGTATAAAGTGATGAAAGTTTATTTTGCCAAGTAATTTCCTTGAAATACTTTGATAAATAATTATGTAAATCCCCATTTTCAGCATATTCAAACACCAACATATATTCATTTGTGCTTGGATCCTTTGTAATTCCAAAGCATTTATTGATAGAATCATTTAATTTATCATTTGCTCTTAACTAAAAATTATCAATAATTATAAATATTTTTTTTTTTGTTCAGTGAGATCTGATTAGTTTATTTATGTTAATGATTTGATTATCAATAATTATAAATATAATTAATATATTTAGGGAATTGTTATTCACACTCCCACGTGACTAAGTGTAGTAATGTGACCAATGAATGGCTTAAGATGTGATGATTTTATTGGTCCATGTCACGTGGAGGACGAATAACAATGGTATATTTAACAATAAATTAATATTACCTCTTTTAAAATGTCTGTAATTTTATCACTTGAGTTATATAATCTTTTTAATACCACATTTGTTTCAGATTGATCATTAAATATATAGTAATAGTTAATCCATATTGCTTTATGAACTTCACCAAAACCACCTTTAGCCAAATATTCAATATTTTTGAATTCATTAAAAGGAATCCATTCAATATAACTATCCATATATCTATTTATTTTTTTTTTACATTCATAAAGAAACTTGGCTATTTCTTTATTTCCACAATAAGCTTCTAAGTTTTCAATTTCCTTTTCTTTACAACCATTGCATAATAAAACAATATTTAAGGAAATTAAACTTTGATATGATTTTTCAATTAATTTTTTACTTTTGTTTTCCCCATTTTCTTTTAATGCATTTAAAAGTTCATTTAATGCATCAATTAATTCATGCGAATAACCCATAACACCTTCTATCATTTTTTTCTTGCAATCGGTACAATTTTCTATTAATTTTAATGTTCCAAGTAATTCATTTATAATATTATCAATCCTAATTTGTTTACCATATTTTTGAATTGGTTCATGTAATAAATTATATCTTGGATAAATTGATTCAATCAATAGTTTTAGCAATTCAATTTCTTCCAACTTTAAAAAACGTCTACTGTAAAGTCTTGAAAGAAGCATAAGATTAACCAAAAAAAATAACGAGTTTATTACACAAAATACTAATATTAATATTAATATTAATATTCTATATAAAAATAACGAATAAAAAAATTTTATTAGCCTCATTTCTTCCATGAACTTTTGCAAACTTAACTGCTGTCTTTTTTTTGAAATATTGTATACGATGATTTAATATGGCGAGGTATATAATTTTCTGTAGATATACGTATTTTTTTTTTGTTTATCCTGTGAAACATATCCTTATTGCCTTTACTTGTTTATCATTAAATATCATTAAATGGTTTCACCAAATTTGGAAAAAAATAATAATGACATTAAATGAAATAAACATTCGAAATTCTCATATGTGTTAATAAATATTAATTAATTGCTTCTGGCACTTTTTAATTTGGCCAAGAGCTCTCTGGTTCGCACTTTTCAATTTTGAATCACGGATTGATCAGTTTTACACAAGGAAAGTTGAAATCCAAGATCTCAAGTGAATCCCAAGAAGGCACTCTGCTCATAGTCACGTATACTTGACCAGGCGCGAACATATTTTTCATATGTGGTGTTGACAGTTGCATGATTCAATGTCAATCCTTAATGCAGGACTTCCATTGATATCAAAAGTAAATGGTTTCTTTTTGCGAGTTGTTGTCACTTCAAACATTTTGAGGATCAGTCATTAATTAATATTAATTAATATTATTAATTTTTCTAACAAGGGCACTAAATTGGGTTATGAAAGTATTCGATTGTAAATTTTACTATGAAAAATAAATTTTTGTGACATGTCCCACGACTGTTAAATAATGCAATTTTCGTTTTTCAATTTATAAAAAACAATGTTAGCTTTTGCTTTTCGTGTTACAAAACACGCACACCGTGCTACGCGAGAATAAAAATTCAATCAAGTTGGGTTTTGCG